GTATCATGTATGTGTCGGGGGACAGTGGGGGGGGGGGACAAATGTGTATATGTATCATGTATGTGTCGGGGGACAGTGGGGGGAGACAAATGACAGAACAAACCAAAGAAAGAGAATCATGACAGAACAAACCAAAGACAGAGAACCATTCCTCACCGCTGATGACTCCGTCCTGGCCTGGCTCCCCCGCGGCAAAGTGGACGTGGTTACGGCCCATCGGCTTCAAGCCCTGCCGAAACAAAACAAACATTGGAGAACTATGTACAGCAGAACACGGCGATGTCCAACACAGAAGAGAACGATCGATTCAACTCACAATTGACATTTGTCTTTCCAAACATTCTCAACATAACAGAAATTCCACTAAATGAAAGTTTGACAATGATAGATCTTGACGCGACAGTACATATGGAATCTTCAGCTAATCGTCAATGTTTCCGTCAACTTGAAAAAGACAAGCTAACACATCAACAACAACAAAAACCATCACAGAAAATATCCATTTTCACAAGGTAGAATTCTGATAACTTTTCTACCACAGACCTCCTCCCCCGTGACTCCCACAGTACAAAGACCTCCTCCCCTGTGACTCCCACAGTACAAAGACCTCCTCCCCCGTGACTCCCACAAACTCCCACAGTACAAAGACCTCCTCCCCCGTGACTCCCACAGTACAAAGACCTCCTCCCCCGTGACTCCCACAAACTCCCACAGTACAAAGACCTCCTCCCCCGTGACTCCCACAAACTCTCACAGTACAAACACCTCCTCCCCCGTGACTCCCACAAACTCTCACAGTACAAAGACCTCCTCCCCCGTGACTCCCACAAACTCTCACAGTACAAAGACCTCCTCCCCCGTGACTCCCACAAACTGTAGCATTACAAACCAGCAGTACCTCTGTCAGAATCTTGTCCACGTTCTTCTCGTACGTCCCATGGACAACCACGGGGAACTCCTCAGCGTTAACGATCGGCTTCAACTCTAGCTCATCGATCTGGGGATGAAAAATTGGAGCAAAAATTATTTTGGAATAAAACACAGCCTAATCTAAACATACTATTAGACCTGCATATTTCCCACAATTTTAAATAGATTAAAGACAGTTTTAACAATTTAAAAAATAAATTTCCCTGCATATCATGTATTAGACGTTTTAAGATGAGTGGGGCACAAACTCATTACGCCCCATTCTTTGTATCTCACCATTTGACAACAGGATATTCTTACTTTACTTTAACCCCCTACCATCAAAATGACTCAAATTGAAAAACAAAGTTTAATAAAGAAAAAAAAATCAGTCATTTACTTTTAACAGCTGACTCATCATATATTATAATTTATTTATATATATATATATTATGTATATTTTGTTTCCACTGAGCTTTGTTCACCTGCATGGTGTGACCTTGGTTGGCTCGTATCTTCAGTCTGCCTGTGTCATTGTCTGTCTCCAAAGTGAAACGTTGCTTGTCGTTGGTGTCCACTATCTGCTGAATCTGTTCTATCGTCGTGTCTCGGAAGTCTTGGTGCCTCAGGAGGTCATCAACGTACAGGAATCCTCCTAGAATAGAAACAGGAGGAACAAAAGATGACGCTTTCAACAAAAGACGATACTATAGACAAGAAACTTTTCCCTCCTCTAAGTGCAGACAGTAAAGAGACGAGCTAAAACGTCTCTCCTATTATTTATTGTGTTTGTTTCCAAGAACATAAGTCTCACTGAGGACTCAGAGAACTTGGAGGATCACCGATACGCTGATAAGAATTCCTGACACACCTCGGTGAGCCTCCCTACGCCTCCCTATCACCCTATACCTCCCTCCTTACCTTTCATCAGCTGAAATCCTTCTTCCTCAGCCTTGTGACGCAAAAGTCTCGACAGTTTGCGGGAAATTCTCACGTTTGGATCAGAAAACCGGTCCCCTCGGCCTCGAGGCTGTGTGGACATTAAAGAAAAAAAGAATAATTTCCACCTCCATCTCTTCGTAGTTTGCCTAATAACCAGAGACAACAGATTAAAAAACCACTACACTATATTATATCATACGACACCCCCCCCCCCCCAACGTACACACCACACAGTTTTATACAACAGTGACAAACTCTCGTCTTATCAGAAATAGTGGACAACCCTGGAGAACAGCGGGGGGTTGCCTGTCAGACAACCCATGATTCTAAGTTTTGAGCAGATAAAAGGGATGTTCTATTTTACACAGGAAGATATTTACCACGCATTGTAAAACTCAGAGTCTTGTTTTCATGAATGTTTTCCCACTGATAAGCAGAGACTGATCTTGAACAAATGGAAGATTATCACATGGATGCATCACCTGGTTTTCGTTGGATCATCACAAAAGTTGACCCAAAATCATGTGAAATTCTTGAGCTAGGAAATGCTCAGCTGGTCGAATCACTTGTTTGACTAAACAGCTCTTTTTTATCATTGATGTAAGGAAGAGACTGAGAAAGGAAGGACTGGGGCCAGGAGCAGTTGTTCAGTTGTAGAGAGTCGCAAGGTTTTGAGAGACTTCCCCCCCCC